TTGATACGTTAGACTCGATGTAGGTGTACACAGGATCGTTCTCGTTAGGCATGGGAGGAATACCTTGGGTTATAATGTCCGAGGTAAGTTAACCCTGATCTAGATTAATTTGCAGCCTTCAGTGTTATGTGAACTGAAAAAAGAAGGTTAGTATTTCAGATATTCCCCATAAACATGAAAGGTTCAGCCGGGAGCCTTGTGACATTGGTTAGCTGGTTAGGCTCTTGGATTATTTCATTTGCATTTAACTTCCTCATGAAATGGAGCTCAACAGGTGAGAGATTCATTGCATCTGATGTTGTCAACATGATCATTTAGGTACAAAATCTTGACATTTCTTTCCCATGTTACACCATCTTCCAGCAACATTCTTCATTTTTGCTACCGTGTGTGGCTCGACTGTTCTGTTCGTGGCGAAGCTGGTGCCGGAGACCAGGGGACGGACGCTCGAAGAAATACAAGCGTCCTTGAATCCGGTTTCATAGGATGAGTAGATGGTGCATGAACAATCAATCAAACAGTTACCGAGCGATTCAAAGTCCTAACTTCAGTGCCATATTTGAGTTCATGAATTCAAAGTTGCCAAGCCCATGGTCTGGTACATAGGTTTCCACCTGTTTATTGGATCCAATTCTTCTTAGTATCTCAATCCACTGAGTTTATTGCAGGACCATGCAAATAGCTTGTCTTTGTGTTCCTTGTGAAACCTAGGGAATATATATATATATATAGGGATAGGATCGAAACTCATATATATATATATATATAGTATTTAATATCAGTCATCTATTTTCACTCGATTAGTTTCACAATGTCTAAGTGGATCCCGACTATATATATATATATATAGTTGTACTAATATGTAATTTTTTGAATCAATCTATATATTTGTCACATTAATTCAATTTACTGTTTTCATTAATATGTATTAATGATAGAATTCTTAATATAAATTAAATATTAGATATTTTTATTTTACTTAAAATTTAATATGCATAATCTATGTGAATAGAACATGATATTTACTGATTAAATTATTGATATATTTATCACAAAAAATACTGAAAATATGTAAAATTCACTTATTTTTTAATATTCTTTTAAAAAAAATTAAAATTAAAATTAACGCCCTTCAAATAAATCGATATCCATAATTTATTTTATTCACTTTAAATTATGACATCATAAATTAAATTGTTTGATTCCGTCTCGACTGTATACTATGAATAGAAGGGAGAAATATTCCATAATAAATTCATTATTTATGGCTATGAAATGAAGTCAATAGGCATCGTAAAGTTAAAACTTTATCTTCAACGTGCATGAAAAATACATTATATATAAAACAAGAAATGAACTTGTCAATGAGGTTCAATAGATTAGATAAAAAAATATTTTTTTTCTAAATGACTTAAGATTCATTTATATCGAGCCGTCTTCTTTAACCTAATTTTCTCTTTTAATATTCTTGTGTCGTCTTCTTCTCTTCCTTTATTTTTTGTTTAGTCAAAGACGACATCAATCTTAATATTGATTGCCGACCGTCGGTGATTATTATTTTTCTTGTTCTTTTTCATATTATGATTTTTTTCTTAACTTTTTTCACTTTTAAATAAGAATCTCTGTCTTTGTGACACACTTTTCTCTGCTCTCGTTGCACGATTTTTCTCTGATCTTGTGGCACATTCTTTATCATTTTTGGTAAGTTTTTCTTATATTTCTGTTGTCATGTTGGTGCTTCCACAAAGATCCTTACGTTATTTGTTTTCTGATTGGTTTATCGGTGGACACGTATTGTCAGATCTCCTCTTTTGTAAATGGTCGTTTGCCGATATAATCAGAATGTTTAGCAAAGCATTCTATCATTGTATAATTAATAAGTGAAAAAAATAAAAAATGAAAATTACTTATCTTAGAACTTATCTTACCATACACTAAAATTATATTATAAATAATTAAAATAATATATTTTAAAATTTATAATAAAAATGAAAAAAAATAAAGCGAAAGTAACCATTTTAATGATTTATCCTTATTTAGAACTTATCTTACCATACACTACATCAGTGTGCTCCACTCATTCGGCAGCCATGCATGAAAAGGACGGACTGACAACATGATATTAACGTATATATTAATTAAAGGATGATTATTAGATATATTATCAATAATTTTTATATAAATAAAATTAAAATAATGATAAGTATTTTATTTAATTATTTACAAAATTTTAAATATACATCAAAATATATGATATGGTTTTAATTTTATAAAAAATACCGTTAGTATAATAAAAAATGGGTTATAATATAATTAATTGGTACTCATAAAAATATACATGTGGATTGTATTGATGTCATTTGTGTTCTTCAAGGTTAGAAGTTTAGAGTTATAAATTTAACGGTTTAAGATTTAAATTTAAAGTTTAGAGTATATAAATTTTGAATTAAAGTTTAATGTTCCTATACCTGTCCTTCGCATATTATCTTCGTGTCTCGATGTCCCCGGAGAATCCTTCCACAATCAAGGTCTCGTGAGAACATCTTCGGAGAGAGATCCTCCGAAGTCTCACTATCACGAAGCAACGATGTTTCGACATGACCTCTGACAGGCACGCGTGATCTATCAAAGTAAATCTATTATTAGTTGATTGAATAACTATAATAATTTCATGCATGACACACGCACTAAGGGGGTGTTTGGATTGGGGAATGTGGGATTCCCATGGGAATGGAATCCACATTCCCCCGTTTGGTTAGCCCGGGAATCCTATTCCCGGTAATGTAAGATTACCAATAGTGGATTTTTTGGGGTATATTACCGGGAATGTCATTACCTCCCTTTCCTTAGGTATTGTTGGGATTACCGGCGTTTTGGACTAAAATGCCCTTAAATTTTTATTTTTTTTCAAAAATATATTTATTCTGTCATCGAATAATAAAAATTTTACGAATGTTAAATTACAAATTTATCCTTAAATTATTTTAGATTTACAAAAAAAAATCTATAATTAAAATTTTATATAAAGTTCAAGGGTTTAAATAAAATTTTACCCTTTCATTAAACTTTTTTTTATTTTTAATTTTGTAAAAAATATATAAATATTATGAATTTAATTTTTTTAAAGAAAATATATAAATATTTTCCAACTTGTAATATTACACAAATATATAATTAGGACAATTTGGTCAAATATACATTCCAATAATCTTTTATTCCTTTAACCAAACACGGTAATCTTACATTCCTGCTAAGCCAACCAAACACAAAATACAACATTCCCAGTAATGCTATTCCTTGGTAATCTTACATTCCCACTGGTAATCTTATATTCCGTGAACCAAACGCACCCTAAGAGTTACTATAATGCCTCTGAACCAAAGCTAAGAGAACAGATGGAGCCACCTCACACTCATTCATCTTTTTCCTACATCCTCATGGAAAATAATATTTTGATACCGGCTAGTGATAATTTGATCGCTGACTGCGATTCTCTGTCCAAATCAAGAGAGATAAATTGTCTATATTTATCGTAACTCATTTATTTCCATCAATAGAGATAATTCAAATATGATAGATAAACCTGTAGAGTATAAATTCTAAACCAAGTATGCATCAAATAACTTCTACTATATATTCTTGTTAATCTTATAGAATCTTTCAATGCTTGGCTGATAAGAATGCACAAGGCAGTATCAATATTACAGACTAAATAGATATTTTTTGCTTAAGCTTTTGGTTTAAACTTCAAAGTGATATTGGCAAAACCAGATACACACACATATTTATATATATAACTTAACAACTAGACCACATAATTATGTAATAATTTCTGTCCTATTTTTTGCACAAAATCCCAAAAGAAAAATCCAAGCAAAGATCCATTTAACCTGGCCCTACTTCGAAGACTTTAGCCTGCAAAATCCACATTTTCCAACTGGCTCAATTTCCCCTACATATACACTTGAAAATGTCATTATCAGTTGAACGGTTTTTCCTTGCTTTTTGGATATGTATCATATATAATATGAGAAAGGGCGGTCCACGTAGCTTTTGAGATTGGTTTAAAACTAAAATTGTACAAATCTTTGGTGGCACATAGAGAACATACAAAGTATCAGAAGATCTTTTTTGTGTGTCAGAGGATCAGCACAAACACTCTAGGACAAGAATCTTGCAGCACACGTGGTTCGTTTTAGTAAAACATTAGATGAGATCATTGTCTTCATCTTCCATTTCCTCAACCTGCACCGATTTGTTGCTTCTGCTTACTAAATTCAATTATCTCATTTTGTTTTCATATAAACAATCATGCACATTTTGTCTTTATAAATATAAGGACAGATGAAAAAAATCATTCTTCTTATACATCCATCATAATCTCTTGGAATATTGCAGTATATCCCTCCGAGTATATTATTATTTTTTGAAGAATAAATTTTAGAAACTGTCATCTCTTATGATCTCCAAATTAATGCTTTAATCAATCTTTTAACTAATAAATAAACATAGTTACCTTGCTAAAAGCATATATAAATATTCTCAGTCAAGATTAAGGTGGAAACACCTTCATTAATAAGGACGCAACACCTTCATTAATCTAGACTCAGTATCCTCCTTTTTTATGACCATTCTCTCATACAGAAAAATATCAATCGACGACGTAACTCTTCACCCTAATTAGAAAAGAAAGGCACCAACAATCAACGAGACAATTTATCTTATCAACATATATTATTATAAAATCATCTATTTAATTACCACTTAAAGATCAAATAACTATCCGGCACCGTTTGCTCTTGCAGTAGCGCTCACGCCTCCTTTCCTTTTCTTTTGTTTATTCTCTTTCCCCTATCTTTGGCTTCAACATGTAAATTTTTTTATTAATACCCTCTCCTCCCCCTTCTTCACTTTCCATTATTCTTCTTTATCAAATCAATCATATCAACAACAACAACCAAATCCCAACTTTTCCTTAAAACTTTTCCTATGACCCTTTGTTTCTCTCACTTTTTTGTCTTATCTATTTAGCCGTCTTCCTCTTGGCATTGAGACTCATAATGCCTTACTCTTACCTCTATCACTATGCACAATCCATGTTGAACAAGTACTGCTTTGGTAAGAAAACTGTTCACTCCTTTTTAGGGTTACAAAACAAGCCTTCTCACCCTCATTCCAAATGTGGTTTAGGGTTGATTTTTAGCACTGAAAACAATCCCAATATTTTCGAGTCCTCCTCATTACCATTGCTCAATACTAACCCTATGTCTTCATCGTCAAAGAAAGACCCTGGTGTAATAAGATTTATGGATGATATGGACTTATGCACTGAGAGTTTAGGGTTTGAGAGTTGTAACGAAAGACAGATCGATGATGATGATGGTCGTGGTGGTGAATATAATGGGTTTTGTGAAGAGGAGATTAGGGGTAGATGGAGGGATAAGAAGAGGGTTGAAGAGAAGAGATTGGAGGATAAAAGGAATAAGAAGTTTCCACCACCACTTTCTTCATTGAACCAAAACGGTAAGCCTTGTTTTTACCTAAAGCCTGTAAGGGCAAATGGGAGGTTGGAGTTAACCGAGGTTAAGATACATAGACCAGAGATTTTATGTGCTGTTAGGGAAAATGGACGATTGAGATTGCATCTTGTTAGTAGCGATGCTTGCTGTAAATTCAATGAGGAAGAGGAAGATGAAGAGAGAGAACATGAAGGACAAGTACATGACTTGCATGAAGAAGAAAAAGCAGGGGGGATAAAAGTTGAAGAATTGTGGACTATTAGAGTGGAAGGTGGAGGTCCCAGTAGATTTCATGAGATGGTAGATTATCATCGACATCATGGAATCAATGGACATCATAGCATGCATGTGTGGAGGCAGCCAAGTGTGTCAATAAGGTGAATACTAATAAATTAGCAAATGTAGGACGGTGAAAATAAAGGAAAAAAAGACGAGCTCGACTAATGGTCTGTGTTTTGTTTTGGGAGAAGATGGATGTCTTCGTCTGAGACATGATAAGTATGATGTGTATATGCTAATTTTGGAGGTTAAAGATGGGGAATCTCCAAACGTCAACACTGTTAAAAAAAGATTTTTAAAAAAATTCTGGAGATTTATCTTTGATTTTCCAATAAAGATGTTGAATACCAAAAATACCCAACAATTTTGTTATTATCTTTTTGCCTAAATTAGTAGAATTTAGGTTGTGAAAGTTTACTCCAGTGTAATCACGGGTACAATTTTATGTGTACATATATAGTAAAATAAGGCTATTGTTGTTGTATTACACAGAAGATTCGGAATAGAAGTTACAATAATTTCCTCTTTTTTTGGGAGACATAAGATTTGGGCACACTAGGAGATTGCAATGGACCAGGTCGAATTTTGACTTACTTAAATCTGAGTTAAAATTTGAAACCCTCCACTCAAATCCAATCCAATTCGGGTGTAAGAGAACTCCACCTAACCCAACTTTTTAAACTAAAACCCACACTCCTGACCTAAATATATATATATATATATATAAAGTTCATTTTTATTATGTAAAACCCAACTTGATCGATATTACTATAATTATCCCTAAATATAATAGAAAATTATAATATTTTGTCAAGTTGGATCGGATTTTTTATCCTAAACCTAAACCCCAATCTGATCTTAGAAAAACCTAACTTGACCCAACTCAAACTCAAATTTTCAAAATAAATAAATTAAAAAAATATCCAATCGCCTCGGGTAAAATTGCCATACCTAGGCATAGTTTCAGGAAACGATGGAAAGAACTTTTATAAATTGATCCTATTAAATAATCAGTCAATTTATGAAAAAAGATAAAGAAACTGATAGTGACTCTTTCTGGATAGACATTAAAACAGAACCAAATAATATAGATGCCAAAATCATAGCTCATGGAAGCAAGAAACCTATAAAATTGGCATTTAAAAGTATATGAAAACTAATTTGAGATGATGATACCCAAGGTCAAGACCCAAGAGTCAATAATCATAATCGAAAGAAATGAGGCAATTATGAACCTGACACGAACCAGAGAGCTAATATCGATGCCTCGGATTACATGTCCGACACGGACCAGAGGTATGCTTCCCTTTCCGTTACCCGTTTCTCGTTCAATTTGGTGAACATTTTCTTCTCAAAACCTACATAGATGCCCAGCAGTAGCCGATTAGCATTTGTCAAACTAAGGGACTGTTTGTTTACTTCAGAATGATTAAGCGTTGAATGATTCAAATGCTGAATGATTCAAATGCTGAATGATTCAGAGACTCTGTATGAATTAGCTCTGAATGTGACATGCTGTTTGATAATGGCTCTGAATCATTCAGAATGTATTTCTGTGCTAAATCATTCAGTAATGTTTTGTTGAATCATTCATCACTGTTTTGTTGAATCAGTCAGCACTGAATCATTCAGAGGTGCGAAACAAACGTTGAATGATTCCATTAAGAGGCAAACAAACAACCCCTAAGACTTAAATAATGATGAAACACTTTGTGAACCAATAACAAAAATGACTTTACCATTACTATGATCAACTCCGTCCCAATGTCTTCCTGGTCTTATACCATATTGATTTGGTATGGCATCTAATTTTCTTACTATCCAACTATGTGGAGGAATATCTTGAGGAACTATAAACCCCGATTCCTTCATCTTCTCAGTATCCCCTAGGTCTTTAAGAACTGGCTCAGGTTGCTTTTTCTACATTATTTCATAAACACGCTTAGTACTAAACTACCCAAATTCTTGTTAGCATCAAAGCAGTTAATTACCTTGACCAAATGCGCCACAGGATCACCCCATCTTAGTCTATCCTTCAACATATTGAAAAGCTCTGGGTCATCCCTGCAAGTTGAAGCCGTAAAATATGAAAATTGCAACATGCACCAATATAGGAGAGGAAAAATAATCTGAATCGCCTAGGATGATACAATGAAGTAACAAATACAAGAATTACAACTCGACATTGTTTATAATTTGTTATCTTACCTGGTTCGAGCAAATGGTTTATTCTTCTCGAGTTCTAATTCTTGCAACCTAGCCTCGGCTTCCCGTTTCTGGGCCAAGCCTTTGCCCCATTCCAACTCTTTCTCCTGATAAAGAACATTAAAAGCAACCATTAATTCTTGCTCACTAAGAACAAAGTAAACAATAAAGTTCACATTGACCATGAACACCGCACCAGAATTGGCTACAATGATCATAACTGAGAAGGAAAAATGATGCAATTCTAAACTCTACAGGTAACTTTTCCGTGTACCTTGGGCTTATCTTCTCCTTTTCGTTTTGACTTGAGGTACTCTTCTTTTGACATGCGTTCTCCTACGGGGATTCACGAGGTATGCGTGAGCCGGATGCAAATGTACATAAGTTTTCAACTAGATATTACTTAATAATGACTTGTCATTCACCTTTATCTTATCACGAAATACAGGTTCAGCACCTCGTCCGCTCACAGATGGATCCATATCCTTAAACCTGACACAAAATAGACCAAAGAAATTAAATGAAGCGCATAAGCCAAACCAACTAAAACCGAAAAAAATAAATAAAACCCAAGGGCTTCCCTCCACTAGAAAACAGAACTCAAGTATGCAAGCACACATGATAGAATCAAATTGGAAATTACATAAAGTTGGTTTTAAATGTTTTCAAATTTGTAATCAGATATATGCAGTCAAACTAAAAGCACTGCTTCATGCTATCATCCAGAGCAAAAGAAAAATACAGGAGAATACTTTAACTCTCTCATTTCATCAACAGATGTATTTTACCAATGTCCTCATGGAAAAAGCCAAGTGTCCCTACAGCAGATCACTACATAACGGCAGCCACATGTAAAAATTGTTTCAACCAAAGAAAAAGCAGCTTCTGATGTTGGTCTAAAAACATTATTGACTGAAGCCTACATTGAACTCAAAACTACTCATCTATTGCTGAGTACCTATTTTATCCTATTTATATAACATTGCAAGGATGAAAAATGCAAAAAGCTAACAGAGCCATTTTCTAAAAGATGAACTATATCTAGATGGCCAAACAGAATAGGTACCTTAACCAATCATCCTTCTTTGTTTTGGAAATTTGTTCTCCGATCTCACTGCCAGAAATTAAACCAGTTTTTGGTTTTTGTTTCAAAGAAGCAGGACCGGTTGATTCCCTACTTTTCCTTGGAGGGGAAAGATCTGAATCATGAACTAACTCAGATGTTTGACGACGAGATTGTCTAGGAGGTGGCATATCAGGCTCCGGTGATTGTGTATGTTGACGTCTTGACCTTTGCCGTGGCGGTGACATATCACTATCAGTACCTTCTCTCAAAGGCTTCAACCTCCGTTTCGGTGAAGGTGTATCATTTCTCACCCTCCGTTTCCGAGGTGGTGATAAATCAGCATCTGCTCTGTTTACTAAAGGTTTTGGTGAAGGTGTACCATTCCGAGCCCTCCGTTTCCGTGGAGGAGATAAATCATTAACATCTGCTCTGTTTACTAAAGGTTCTGGTGATTGTGTATCATTCCGAACCCTCCGTTTCCGTGGAGGAGATAAATCAGTACCATCTGCACTGTTTACTAAAGGTTCAGGTGATGGTGTGTCATTCTGAACCCTCCATTTTCGCAGAGGACATAAATCAGTATCATCTCTAGATGCCTTGACTCGAGGTTCTGGTAAATCAGTCCTAGTTGCCCTCCTACAAGAAGGTGATAAATCATCCCTACTTCTCCGTGTTGGTGACAAATCCTTAACTTCTATTTCAGAGTTTGAATGCCTCAACCCAGGTTCTGGAGAAGGTGTGTCATTTCGTGTCCGCTGCCTACGAGGGGAACTATCAGAATTAGGATCCACTGCGTTAGCACGTTTAGGAGATAGCGAGACCCATCCACTACCGTCTTCAGCAATAGTATTGTATCCCCTCCTCAACCTAATCTGCTCTAGCTTTTTCATTCTTTTCACTTCGATATCTTCATCTACTACGGGTGTCTCATCTAGGAAAATAACAAAGTTCATAATCAATAACTATCAACTATAAATTCATTAAACTGAAAATAAATAATAATTACAATATAAAAAGAAGAGGAAAAAAATTGAACCAACCAGGTGAATCATTGCCATCATCGTCTTCAGCCTTAACAGGTTTTTGCCAGACCGGATCTTGATCAACAACCAACACGCCTGAGGATTCGAGTTTGGTTTTCTTCTTTTTCTTCCTTTTCTTCTTCTGATCCTCTTCTTCATTTTTGGTCTCGTATCTTTTTAGATATTCCTTCAAGCTTGAAGTTGCCTTCACTACACAAATTCAATAAGATTATTAGGGTTTCAAATACTGCGAGCAAAACGCAAATTCTGTAATCTTTCACTACTTTGAGCCTTTGGATTCCTGCCATGTGCACCTCAACAATTGAATAATTTTACGTGAAGAAAAAGTCTTAGAGGGCTAAGCATATTTTGTTACAAAACTACGAATAACACAATTTCAAACAGTAACTGACCCCATAATTCTATAACTATCACCTTGTTTCCATCAATCTTCTAAATGACCTAACAACTTAACCATGTTGATGCCTAGAGTTAGATGAATAATAGAAGGAAGAGAAAATTACCGACATGATATCTAGACTTTCAAATCTACAGGTTCACTAGACCTCCTAGCAACCTGTGTGCTTAAAGCTTAGTCCAACAAGCTGAAGAGCCACAACAATCAATAAAAGAAGTTTTTAAATTGGCAGAACTAATAGCACTAGTAAGTAGATCAAATGAAGCCATTTTAGGATCAACTGTCAATGAAAGAAACAGATACAGACAATTCAAACCTGTAGGTATACTGGATAAAAGTAACACTTGTAATAGAGAAACCTTCTATTGAGGAAAGCCAAATCATGTGATGGTTGTCTGACAGTAATTTAAGGACAAAACAAACACTGGACTCTATCATTTTGATCATATAGATCGTTTCAATTACTGAAAAAACCAACTTATACTATAGCGTGCATGTGTGCGCACAAGACGGGAGAGGCTGCACAAAAGGGTAGTGCTTCCCTTTTCCAAATGATAGGGTTCCATGCTCTGTCCTGTGACTCCCGACAGCCCGAAACGTCACACATCATCATCATCAATTGTAATATAACTACTGATTCACATATCCATATTGCTAAAAAGAACGGAATTTCCTGATTTCCATTCTGCAGGGGCGGAGAGCAGATAACTCAAAA